AATGATATAACTATAAAGGAGCTTAAGTAGAAGACTCTTTCGTCTACGGCCATATACGTTGAAAACACCGGTTCTCGTACGATCACCGAAGTTAAGTAACGTCGAGCCCGGTTAGTACTTGAATGGGTGACCGCCTGGGAATACCGGGTGCTGTAGGCTTTTTCTTTTTTCATATATTTTTTATTTTTAATCAACGGTTAATGTCTGGATGCTTTCGTAATTCGGTCTCTAACGATCTCTTCACTTTTTTTTCGCAGTGTAAACATTTAAATTAAAAAAAACAACCGTGTTAAGTTTTTCATCTTATTTTCATTATCGAGATTTTTTCATAGCGATATCAATGAATGGCGTCGTGGTTAAACAGTTGGCGTAACGACTAAACGGTGTAACTATAAAGGAGCTTACGAAACAGACTCTTTCGTCTACGGCCATTTCACGTTGAAAACACCAGTTCTCGTCAATATGCGTTACGACTCAATGGTATAACTATAAAAAAGCTTAAGAAGCAGACTCTTTCGTCTACGGCCATATCACGTTGAAAACACCGGTTCTCGTCCGATCACCGAAGTTAAGCAACGTCGAGCCCGTTTAGTACTTGGATGGGAGACTGCCTTGGAATACAGGGTGCTGTAGGCTTTTTTCTTTTTACATATAAATTTTATTTTTAGTCAACGGTTAGTGTCTGGTTGCTTTCGTAATTCGTGGCCGCCAATTACTTTTGCTAAAAATTTCTTCACTTTTTTTTTTGCAGTGTAAATATTTAAACCAAACGAAACAACCGTGTTAAGTTTAACATCTTATTTTCATTATCGAGTTTTCTTCATAGCGATATCAATTGAATGGCGTCGTGGTTGAACAATAGGCTTAACGACTGAACGGTATAACTATTAAGGAGCTTACGAAGCAGACTCTTTCGTCTTCGGCCATATCACGTTGAAAACACCGGTTCTCGTCCGATCACCAAAGTTAGGCAACGTCGAGCCCGGTTAGTACTTGGATGGGTGACCGCCTGGGAATACCGGGTGCTGTAGGCTTTAATATTTTTCATATATTTTTTATTTTTAATCAACGGTTAATGTCTGGTTGCTTTCGTAATTCGGTCTCTAACGATCTCTTCACTTTTTTTTCGCCGTGTAAACATTTAAATTAAATGAAACAACCGTGTTAAGTTTTTCATCTTATTTTCATTATCGAGATTTTTTCATAGCGATATCAATGAATGGCGTCGTGGGTAAACAATAGGCGTAACGACTAAACTGTATAACTATAAAGGAGCTTAAGAAGCAGACTCTTTCGTCTACGGCCATATCACGTTGAAAACACCGGTTCTCGTCCGATCACCAAAGTTAATCAACGTCGAGCCCGGTTAGTACTTGGATGGGTGACCGCCTGGGAATACCGGGTTCTGTAGGCTTTTTTCTTTTTTCATATAAATTTTATTTTAATCAACGGTTAGTGTCTGGTTGCTTTCGTAATTCGGTCTCTAACGATCACTTCACTTTTTTCTCGCCGTGTAAACATTTAAATTAAAAAAAACAACCGTGTTAAGTTTTTCATCTTATTTTCATTATCGAGATTTTTTCATAGCGCGTGGTTAAACAATAGGCGTAACGACTAAATTGTGTAACTATAAAAAGGACCTTAAGAAACAGACTCTTTCGCCGTGTTAAGTTTTTCATCTTATTTCATCTTTCATCTCATTTCATCTCGTCCGATCACCGAAGTTAAGCAACGTCGAGCCCGGTTAGTTCTTGGATGGGTGACCGCCTGGGAATACCGGGTGCTCTAGGCTTTTTTCTTTTTTTATATAAATTTTATTTTTAATCAACGGTTAGTGTCTCGTTGCTTTTGTAATTCGTGGCCGCAACTTACTTTTGCTAAAAATTTCTTCACTTTTTTTTCGCGGTGTAAATATTTAAACCGGTTAGTGCCTATTGCTTTCGTAATTCGTGGCCGCCAATTACTTTTGCTAAAAATTTCTTCACTTTTTTTTCGCCGTGTAAATATTTATACCAAATGAAACAACCGTGTTAAGTTTTACATCTTATTTTCATTATCGAGTTTTCTTCATAGCGATATCAATTGAATGGCGTCGTGGTTGAAGAAGAGGCGTAACGACTAAACGGTATAACTTTAAAGGAGCTTAAGAAGCAGACTCTTTTGTCTACGGCCATATCACGTTGAAAACACCGGTTCTCGTCCGATCACCGAAGTTAGGCAACGTCGAGCCCGGTTAGTACTTGGATGGGTGACCGCCTGGGAATACCGGGTGCTGTAGGCTTTTTTCTTTTTTCATATAAATTTTATTTTAATCAACGGTTAGTGTCTGGTTGCTTTCGTAATTCGGTCTCTAACGATCTTTTCACTTTTTTCTCGCCGTGTAAACATTTAAATTAAAAGAAACAACCGTGTTAAGTTTTTCATATTATTTTCATTATCGAGATTTTTTCATAGCGATATCAATGAATGGCGTCGTTGTTGAACAATAGGTGTTACTTCTAAACGGTATAACTATAAAGGAGCTTACGAAACAGACTCTTTCGTCTACGGCCTTATCACGTTGATAACGCCGGTTCTCGTCCGATCACCGAAGTTAAGCAACGTCCAGCCTAGTTAGTACTTGAATGGGTGACCGCCTGGGAATACCGGGTGATGTAGGCTTCTTCTTTTTTCATATATATTTTATTTTTAATCAACGGTTAGCGTCTGTTTGCTTTCGTAATTCGTGGCCGCTAATTATTTTTGCTAACGGTCTTTTCACTTTCTTCTCGCCGTGTAAACATTTAAATAAAAAGAATCAACCGTGTTAAGTTTTTCATCTTATTTTCATTATCGAGATTTTTTCATAGCGATATCAATGAATGGCGTCGTGGTTGAACAATAGGTGTTACGTCTAAACGGTATAACTATAAAGGAGCTTACGAAACAGACTCTTTCGTCTACGGCCATATCACGTTGAAACCACCGGTTCTCGTCCGATCACCGAAGTTAATCAACGTCGAGCCCGGTTAGTACTTGGATGGGTGACCGCCTGGGAATACCGGGTGCTCTAGGCTTTTTCTTTTTTCATGTATATTTTATTTTTAATCAACGGTTAGTGTCTGGTTGCTTCGTAATTAGTGGCCGCCAATTACTTTTGCTAACGGTTTCTTCACTTTCTTCTCGCCTTAAAAATATTTAAACCAAACGAAACGACGTGTTATATTTTTTATTTTATTTTCATTATCGAGTTTTTTTTCATAGCGATATCAATTGAATGTCGTCGTGGTTGAACAATAGGCGTTACGACAAAATGGTATAACTAAAAGGAGCTTTTTTTGTTTTTTCATATATATTTTATATATATGAAAAATATATATATATATATTATATATATATATAATTTGCGGCCACAAATTAAGAAAGCATCCAGACACTAACCGTTGATTAAAAATGAAATGTGAAAAAAGAAAAAGCCCACAGCAGCTGGTATTCCCAGGCGGTCACCCCTCCAAGTACTAACCGTGCTCGACTTCTCTTCGAGAACCGTCTTCTTCGTAAACTCCTTTATTGTTATACCGT